CCACCATATCTCCTAGAGGCTTTGAGCTTCTACACCATTCATACATTAGCTCATCATCCTAGGACCATTTACCACCACATTTTCGCACCATTCATCCAAGGAACACCCCTCCATGCACATCTCCTAGCTTTGGCCCAACCTAGCCAAGGAGGTTGCCATCACAACTTTTATCAAGTCCAGTGTCTAAGCTTTCATAAGATATAATGAGAACTCGACTACGTGGATTATCAAAAGGGTTACGAAAAGAATTTTTCTATTAACACTATTCAATCCCCCCCCTTCTATTGTTTTTCATGTACTTTAGTTGATTGACGTTGGAAGTAAAAAAAGACGTTAATTGCGTTGGGAATGACCATTTTCCGACGTTAATTGATGTTGAAAATAATCATTTTCTATTGTTAATTGACGTTAGAAATAACCATTTTTGACGTTAATTGAAGTTGGAAATGACCATTTCAATGTTCACTTTTCAATAAACATTGAAAAATGACGTTGGAAATTGACATTAGAAATGGTCATTTCTCAATGTTAATTGATGTCAGAAAATGACAATTTTCTGATGTCCCTCCCTCTTTGTTTTTCTTTAATAAACAATGATTCATTTTTACATTTTTACTAAACCTGAAAAACAAAAAATCAGGAAATTTCGTATATGCAGAAAATTTGTATGAACTATAAACTAAAACTATCACAAGTGAATGATGTTATAATGAGTATGTATATTGACTATTTACTTCTGATTTTTGGTTTTGATAGTTATAGTTAGTATTTTTGGTTGAAATATATTTTGAGCACTCCTTAGAACCTTATTTTAGGAATAAATTCCCAAGAATTATTTGGAAAGTTAGTTGTTGTAGATCTTTAAACGACCATAACTTTTGTACTGGTTGGCAGATTTGACATTATTATATATTGATTTAGGATAGAAAAAATTTTCAAGCCCATGACAGCTAGTGTAGCAAGCTATTCTTTCTAGATTTTCAAAAAAAAATATCGTTTTCTATTTTTCCTTAATTATTTTTTGTAAACTTTGCAAAAATATTTCACATACTTAGACTTTAGTTTTGATCTAAAATTTTTTGTTAGGGCTTTGAACAACATCTCAGGTCATTTGAAGTTCTTTTGAATATACTCTCAATTTTACTCTAAATTTCAATGGTGAACAAACAAGTTTAATAATACCAATATCAACAATAACAATACTAACAAGTTCAACCAATTTATAGCCCATAGAAAATGAAAATGAAAGTTCATCAAAAACCCAAAATGAAACTAACCTTCCTGAAGGTGGGTCGCCGCTAGAATAAAGTGTTGCCACTAGTGAGGGAGAAAGGAGAACATGCCTATGCTCCAAAGAGTACCTATTGTTAAGACCTCGGCAAGTGTACCGAATCGTATCAAGTAATATAAAATGGTAAGACCAAGTATCGTTTCCCAAGAGACTCACGACACTAAACAATTGTGTAATTACTTAACTAATTAAAACGAAAAAGATATTTTGTTGGTTTTCAAATGCAAATGCAACAAAAGTAAATATGAATGAAAATTGATCAATTGAGGCTAAACACTAGAATGAATGGATGAAGTTGATGATATGAGATGATAATGTTGTTGGGGTTTAGATTTCACCTAATCACTCTCATGCATATAAGAATTCTTCTTCTTTATTAAAGGTCAATGTCACTTTCTAAATTACTTAGAACCCGATGTCTCGACAACAAAAGTTGTTAAAATAGAATGGCTCAATTTCTCACACCAAGAGGGGGGGGTGAATTAGTGAAGAATAAAATTTAAAACTTTCAAAATCTTTTTCACCAAAAGAGATGCCTTTATATTTTTCTTGAAACGCAAGTTAAAAGATTTTCAATGCAGCGAAAATTTAATCGAATGAGTATAAAGTATAATCGATTGAATGTAAAAGAGTAGGGATAAGAAACATCAAACGCTGTGGTTTTATACTGGTTCGACCAAGCCTACATCCAATGTCCTTCCAACCACAGGAAGCTAATGCACTATAATGATCAAGTTTTTTACAACAAGGTTTTTATAGGGAGCTCACGTCAAAAATATAAAACACCTCTCTAACCCTTTAATCAAAATATAGGCAGTACATAAACAGACTCGAAGCAAGAATCCCCTCTCAAGCACTTTAACCCCTTTGAGGCACCCTCAAAGTCAAGAACGCATCACATCCTTCTTCCTATAATCACAACAAGGAACTCAACCTAATCTTCAACAGATTGTAGAACCTGATCTTGCAGTAGATACCCAAATGTGTAGATAGATCAGACTTTAAAAACACAACAACCTTGCTGATCAAGAAATTACAAGCAGTTGATCACCCCGTCCAATCTTATTTTCTTGGAGCTTTTCCTCTTTCTGTAAGAATCAAACTTTCTGCAAAAGAATATGAAAATGTCAAAATCACAAAAGTTCTCACAAAAATCAAATTCGCGTCAATTTATAGTATAACACATCTCTGACGCATTTTAATCGACTAAGCTACTAATGCAGTCGAATATAACAATTTTGTTATAGCAGTTAGTAGCAGTCAAAGCAATTAATTAAATTCACAATTAATGCAGTTGAATAACATTTAATGTTTGGTCAACACATTTAAAAATATAGTCATTGTGACAGTTATATCAAGCATTAACAAATTTCAAAAAACTAACAAACTTAGTCGAATGCAACACGCATATAATCGACTATGTAATAGTGTAAATCATAGTTTTGAAAAACTTTCTCTTTGAAAAATGTCACAGCACACTTTGAAAAAGGTTTGTGCAAAGACACGAGTTTTAATCGATTCAACACATAATGTAATCGACTTAAAACTGCTGTTTTGCTACACAATTAAAATTCAACATTAGTTCTTGTGGTTTTTCTCATCCAAAAATATATGTCATGCATTCATCTACAAAATCACATATATAACACAGTGAAATGCAATGAATAACACAACAACAACACAATCATGTTCTCATATACGCATATAACATGTAAGCATAGAACATGTAACACAATACTCACATGTGTTATTAATTATGCGTTGTCATCATCAAAAACTCAGATATTACTAAGATTGTGGGTTCAGCTCAACCAGTGCTCCCCCTATCAACAATCTCAACAATCACCCCCTTTTTTGATGATGCACAACCATGATTAATAATCAACCATGTTGCACAACTCAATACAGATTATCAATCAATTACCAATCAACATAATTCTCCCCCTTTGGGCATTAGCAAAAAAGGTAAGCACAATGATGATCAAGCATACAGAGATACATCAGATAATCATCAAGAAACAAATAATGATGCTCCCCCTGTCAAAGATATTCACATGAAATTAAGATTTTCTCCCCCTTAAATGAAGACATGTGAAATATATCAATGATATGCAATGCTCCCCCTGTCATTATGCATATTTCAATCTCAAAATACAGATGCACAATTTTTAACGCTCCTTGGAGGCAGATTTGGGGATGTGGGAGCTCTCCTCTTCAGTTTCTAGGGTTTTTCTATCTCTTTCATTCCATTGTTCATCTAGTTTCTCCATGATAATGGAGAACTAAATTCATTTGTTGTTAGGGAAGATGTACCTATGCATGAAACCAATCGGTCAAAACGAAAGAAAATCATACATAAAGTAGTTAATCAATGTGCCTTTGTGTAAAATGAAAGAAAGATTACATATGTTGGTCGCTGAAAGCTTCGTCTAAGAAGAGTTTGAGAAGAAATGAAGGTTTTGCGTAGCAAAGATAAAATGAATAAATTTTTACCCTTCCCGTCCAAATTTTTAATGAATTCACTAATATATAACATCTAAAAAGTGATATTGTGTCTTATAATTCTTTGACCTTTGAAACTAGGACATTCAACGTCATACATGAATATATATTTACCTTCTCGCCAAACAATTTTATTAAATTTACTCAGTATGACGTCGCAAATTTGAAAATTCCGACATCTAAAGAGTATATGACCTTAGAAAAATATAAATTCCGACGTCTAAATTGAACATCTATTTACAAAATTAGTACTGATATTTTTAACATTTTTTAACATTGACTTTGTTAAAGCCTTATTTTACATTAGATGTGTTTAAAAATGACGTAATATTTTCTTTTATAATTTTTTTAAAGGAAAGATACAAAACTTAAAAAATGTAATTTCTACTTATAACGTTTACAATGCATATTTGTTCCGACAATTGCTTATAATGCACATTAATTCAATATACGAGGTTTTATCTTAATACTAAAGTAAAAGCGAAACTCAATTTTGTAATCGAATATTAAATTCTTCGAAATATTTTTCCATTATTTTTTCTTATTTAAAATATAATTTTTAAAGGTAGCGTTATTTTTATAAAGCACTATTTTTTGTGTAAATAAGGTCATACCATTTGGCTTAAGTGGTAAATTTGATTGAGTTTGGTTGAATTCGAAACAATTGTTTTGTATGGAAATGTAATGTAGAATATCTTAAAAGAACAAATTAGGATGAATTTCGTTTACCAAAATAGTATTTTAGAAGAGAAATAATTTCGTTGATAAGAGAATAAATATTAAAGTTATTATTTTTATTTCGCATGTCAAACACTCCTTAATCAATGCAATCTCGTGGGAGTTTTTCTGTGCTCCCACAGCACCTTTGTTTGTGTTGTTGTTGGCAGGGTCACTGTCTCTGCCTTCTTCCACCGCATCAGTCCTCTTCGTCCCATCATTCACACCCTTCATCTCTCCATTCACAGAAAAAAAAAGGGATGCAAATTTCCTCACCCCCTTCCAAAACTTGAAACTATTGGAACTTTGCATTGATGGGGTTAAAGGGAATGCTCACCTAATCCGGTTTCTCAATTCTTTAGCCCCAAGTTCCACTCTTTTTTTTTATCTTATATCATTCTTTTATATGTGTACTCCCTACTTTCCAAAATTTGAGGCATTTCATGCTTTCTGTCTCAAGCTCTGAGAAAACGTTATTGTTGTTGTTGTTGGGCTGTTTGTTTGTTTTGGTCTCTTGTCGGTCGAAGAATGGCCACCTTGCAGATGTCCCATGTTGATTTGGAGCAAGGAAACCATCGCCGTTCGGTTGTTGGTAGTGATGCGAGCGTTGAAGGGAGCTTATGCTTCTCTGATGCCGATGATGGGTCTTGCTACTCTCGTTTCTACTCAACAAATGGTGGTTCATATGATGATTACAGCTTTGATTGTGTTTCTGATCCTGAGGCTGGGGGTGTTCCTCATTCTGGGAGAGCTTCTTCTGTTTCTGAGTGCTCTGTGGAGTTGGAAACTAGAACTGGGGTTCCTGAGATCAAGGTGCATTTGGCTAAAGTGGAGAAGGATTGTAGGATTTGTCACATGGGTTTGGTGAGTGATAGCCATGAGTCTGGTGCCCCCATAGAATTGGGTTGTTCCTGTAAGGGTGATTTGGCTGCTGCTCACAAGAACTGTGCTGAGGCCTGGTTCAAGATTAAGGGAAATAGGTGAGTGTGAAACTGAAAACCTCTACTTTCCGTACTATTTTTGTTCCATCGATTTGATTTTTATGCTAAATCTTGGGTTTTTTTTTTTGTTAGATATTTAAGATACCCTTTTGTTAATTCATGGCCTTGGTAACTGAAACTTGCCGACATATGTTATGTATTGGTGCTGTTTGAAAGCTTTACAGTATCAGTCACAGCNTTTTTTTATCTTATATCATTCTTTTATATGTGTACTCCCTACTTTCCAAAATTTGAGGCATTTCATGCTTTCTGTCTCAAGCTCTGAGAAAACGTTATTGTTGTTGTTGTTGGGCTGTTTGTTTGTTTTGGTCTCTTGTCGGTCGAAGAATGGCCACCTTGCAGATGTCCCATGTTGATTTGGAGCAAGGAAACCATCGCCGTTCGGTTGTTGGTAGTGATGCGAGCGTTGAAGGGAGCTTATGCTTCTCTGATGCCGATGATGGGTCTTGCTACTCTCGTTTCTACTCAACAAATGGTGGTTCATATGATGATTACAGCTTTGATTGTGTTTCTGATCCTGAGGCTGGGGGTGTTCCTCATTCTGGGAGAGCTTCTTCTGTTTCTGAGTGCTCTGTGGAGTTGGAAACTAGAACTGGGGTTCCTGAGATCAAGGTGCATTTGGCTAAAGTGGAGAAGGATTGTAGGATTTGTCACATGGGTTTGGTGAGTGATAGCCATGAGTCTGGTGCCCCCATAGAATTGGGTTGTTCCTGTAAGGGTGATTTGGCTGCTGCTCACAAGAACTGTGCTGAGGCCTGGTTCAAGATTAAGGGAAATAGGTGAGTGTGAAACTGAAAACCTCTACTTTCCGTACTATTTTTGTTCCATCGATTTGATTTTTATGCTAAATCTTGGGTTTTTTTTTTTGTTAGATATTTAAGATACCCTTTTGTTAATTCATGGCCTTGGTAACTGAAACTTGCCGACATATGTTATGTATTGGTGCTGTTTGAAAGCTTTACAGTATCAGTCACAGCTTTTTGTTTGCTTGAAGGGTTTGATTTTAATGACTAGAGTGTGGGAAAGTAATTGAAGTGTATAACGTGTAATTTGTGTTGTGAAATTATTTAATTCAGTAATGAGTGTAAGGCTGAGGAAGATGGTGGGGAAATTATTTGGAAACATATTTTAGAAGGTGTAAAAAATTCAATTGCAGGGTGAGGGAAGGCTCAATTATTGGTCCGGGAAAGGGGAAAGTTATAGAAGATTAAATTTTTTAATGAAGATTATGGAAAAAGAAAGGCGTAAAGCATCAACTAGTTCAACTGATTCGCTGTCTTGCCTACCCAAGCACAGTGGGATTCTTTGCTGCTTTGTCCCTTTTCTGAAATTTAGGAATCTATATATTACTCTTCTTTCTTATTATTTTTATCTCTTTCAAAGTGGAGATTTGACCCCGTCTGACTCCTGTTCATGGATTCAAATATCTTGGTAGATGCTACGTGCTTGCAGCTGTGCCACCTAGAATATTTTAATCTGCAAGTTACTGGTCCCATATAATCTGTTCATGTATGATGTATGATGTCAACTTTTAGATTGACTAATAGTTGTGAATTGTGAGTACCACGAGCTACTGAATGTTGGTAAAAATGTCCAGATCCCTTGTTGCAGTTGTTGAGGTAAAACAATTTCATACTTCATTTTCTGGTTCTGCAGAATCACTTGCGGAAGATGGAACAGTTAAAACTTGTATTCAGTGGCAGAGTACTATTTCTTAATTTTAATGGCAGTCCCTAAATTCTAAGTGAAAGTAAGGAAACGAGTTACGTGTGCTTTTATGGCAACATGGTAGGGCATGTTTTGTTGATGGACTGGTGACCGTCCATTCTTCATTGTGAATTTAAAAGCAAATTATAGGTGCCATTTATTGAGGAAGGATCTATTGCTATGATTGATTCAGACGCAAAACCATCCAAATGCATTACTTCATGGCTAAATTAAAGTCCTATAATGCGACAGAATTTGAATCTTTTCAATTTTGGAATTTTCTTTAACTGATGTATTGATGCTTTGATTTGTGGCAAATATTTATGATATATTATTCTTTAGCTTAGTTTGATACTTTAAAAACGTGACATGGTTTGTCAAAGACATGTTTGAAATTATATAAAGGCAATTGGACAGTTGTATATAGAGATTTAATTTGGGCTAACTAGAGCTGGAAAACTATGAAATCATATTCATTATTCTGATTGGTTGACTCTTCTGCTGTGACAACTTAGTGTAAACAGTAAGGTTGGTTGATGATTATCTTTGTTAAATTTAAATGAAGGTTCATTTATTACTAGTTTATTACGTCTTGTGTATGAGCCGAAAATATCATGGTTTTATGAAATGATATTTTCATATCTGGCATATGAACAGCATGGCCTTTTGCATTTGCAAGCCTGCTTGTTTATTTGAAGCATCCCGTTTTGAAATGGCTAGCAATTAATATTGCTTTTGATGTATATGATGTGAAGTTTCTACTGAATTTATAACAATGTTCGTCAGAAAATCTGGTTGTTTAATGCAAAAATAGCAATTCACCTGAACAGATTTCTCATGAAGTTTTAAGTTGTGTGTTTTTCTGATAATTTCTGATTGCTTAAACTTTAACAGGACTTGTGAAATCTGTCATTCTGTTGCTCGGAATGTTTATGGAGGAAACGAGGATTCGACAGAGCATGTTAGCGACGGTAACAATGGTACTACAGCAGCAGCCACAGTCTCCACAACTGCTCCTTTTACAGAACCTCGAAGATTTTGGCATGGCCATCGCTTCCTCAATTTCTTGCTTGCTTGTATGGTTTTTGCTTTTGTGATATCATGGCTTTTCCACTTCAATGTGACATCGTCGTAGGATTTCTTCAGGCAGTTTTATTTACAATTTGAAGTTGAGTAGGGAGCAAACAAGAGAGATGAAAAGAAAAAAAGAGAAGGAAAAAAGGAAACCCTTCTCGAAGATCATGGAAAACAATTGCTTAGAGAAAGAATCCTTGTAGAATTTGAGACATTGTTGGGTTTATAAAGGTGGCTGCATAACTTCCTTTCCATGCAAATAGACATTTTCTGTTGTGCATTCGTCATAGGCTCTCTTGTTCTGTCTTTCAGAGTCAATGCAATTTGTGAACAAATACTAGAATGTTTATTCAAATGTAAATTACATATTTATATTGTATTGTTACTTCATTGTCATTTTGTACGGGGTGATTTCTTAGTTCACTTGTAAGATTTGCTGACATTGCTCCTCTAATCAATAGTAAAAGAAACTACATCCATGTTTTCCACTTCTTCACACATCCAAAAAACAAAACCCTTCGGAGACCAAAAAAGAAGTCATTGTTTAAATATTTTATGATTCAACAAAGGCACTGTTGCATAACACTGCGTATCAAGACTTTGTTAGGAAGTTAAAAGTATACGAGGAGGAATAAAAGAAAATGGAGTTAAAAGGCCGGAAAAGTGGTTAGTTAGTTAGTAAAGAGAGTATAAATAAAAAAAGAATATGTTGAGGGGGGTTCATGAGATATTTTCTTTTGGGCAGTGATAAACAAATTTTTAATTTCCGAAAACAGAGTCAAAAATTTGTTAAGACTTCGGTAAGTCAAACTCTTCAAAATGACGCTCAGCGGCAATTTTGGCAAGCGTGAGACAGCAAAAATTGGCGCTCAGCGTCCCCTACCGCTCAGCGCAACTTTTTCTGCACTTTAGTTGACTTTTCTGCACTCTGGTTGACTTTTCTGCATTCCAACCATTCGGTACTTTAACTCTTCTTTCAAATCATTCCAATAGCCTACAAAATCAAGGGAATCTAGCACAAAACCATTAAATTCATCTTTAACTCTCTTATTCACAAAACTAAAGTTAAAACATGAGTTCAAGCAAGTTTCTAAGTTAAAAAGGATGTTCTTAATATCAAAATTAAATATAAAAATAATGGTTTTTCAATCGTTATCAGGTAGATACTGCCTGGACATCTTTTTTTCCAGTGGAGGAAGGTAGGCTCCCTTGGGGTGCATGCTTGTATTTCTTTCTATATATTACAAAATTAATAATATACATACACATACATTCATTTTTTTGTTGTTTTAAGTGTTATGGTGAGAAGAGAGTGACCTGTATTGGTTTCTTGAATAGAGAAACTTAACAAATTTGGTCCCACCTTCCAGATCTCTATTGAAGGAACGAAGGGAGAACGGAGTGATGGACAAATTTGTAAGCACCAAAATATGATGTCACAAACTTGTTTCACAATCGGCAAGTATGACCGAATCGTTTCAAGTAATAAACTTGGTAAGACCAAGTATCGTTCTCCCAAAGGACTCACGGCCTAGTTTAGTTATGTGATTTGTTGATTAGCTAGGACTTACAAACGAAATATTTAGATTTTAATATGCAAGACGAAAAGTAAACATGTATGCATGAATTGATCAATGGCAAAGACAAAAGATAAACACTTTCAATGAAATATATGAATGAATATGTTGTTGGGGGTCAATTTAATCTCATCCACTCTCATATATTTTAGGAATTCAACATTCAAATCATCATTGTTAATGCCACTCTCTAATGTACCATTCTAGATGGCTTCTCCCTAATCAAATAGTTCATACAATTCCTAGCATTCCTAATGATTAGTTCATGAGTGCAGGAGCTTAAAGGCAACCAATAGAATATTGTCAGTATAATATTGGGAGAAATTCCCCGGATCTAGA